AAATGTACAACGTTTCGACAAGGTTTTGTCATCATCAGGTGATGACAAAACCTTGTCGAAACGTTGTACATTTGCTGTTGTATTAAAGTTTTTCTTCATTACCCATTCAAGCCGTCTCCAGCCATTAAAAACCCATGAAGCTTGCAGGGGGCCCTAGTCAGCCCCAAGACCCTTGTTCCCCTTGGCTGCTTTCAGAAATTTTCACTCTGACCACTCATCTCTGGTTATATAACTCTTAGGTTTCAAACTTTTAAGTATATTGTGCATTACATCTTCAAATAATTTAACTATAAAACTCATCATTAATGTTACAGGTCTTGTTTATTCAGAATTTTCAAATTTTTTTTTAAAGTAGAAAATGGCTATGGAGCATTTTAAAACGTTTTTATTTTTTTCTGTAGATCAGTACTAAGGAGCCTCTGAATCCTATTTGCCAGGATGTTAAAAAAGGAAAATTGCGCTTTGTCCATAACTGTTTTCCACATCATGGGTATATCTGGAATTATGGGGCCATTCCTCAGGTAAGTTCATTCTTAATTTTTTTTTTAAACACCCAAGTCAATGCTTATGCTTCATATTGCACAGAGGAAATAATACTGTAAATGTGTAAATATTACAGTAGGTTTAACTTTCCTACATACAGTTATTTTATTTCACAGCCATTTCAGATAAAAGTTTCAATTTTAGTATATTCGTGTTAAATGTGAATTGGTCTTTCATTCTGAATAAGTTTTGTTGTGGGTCATCTTGAAATTCTGTTAGTTGGACTCGTTATTCAGTACCTATAGGTTTATAGAAAAGCCATTACAATACATTGCTGAAACAGTGTCACAATATAAGGAAACTCTAAAATAAAAACTATTTTTTCTTTGACAAGTTTCAAAACTTGTTTAAGAGTATGCCTAATCCTGATGTTGCAGTATGTAATAAATTTTGCTATTGACAATTTTTTACAATTTAATAAATGTTTGTGACAGTTTTCAAAAAGAACCATAATATTACTTGAATATTTCTTTGTCTTTATAGAAAATACCAGATATACAACATACAGGAATACTGCAGAAAACTGTAGATATGCACTTAGGAGGTTTAGAGGTTATGCAAATGCAATACACAAACTGTATGATTGAGAAAAGTACTTTTATTCTTCACGTGAATATCACCTTGAACCAAGACTTGTCAGAGTGAGTCAGATTGACTTTATCAATTCAAAGACAGACTTGTACTGTTTACCAAAAGCTTGTTACATTTCATGAGCATACACTTCATAAATTCAGAATTATAGTCAACTTCACTTCTCTAATACAGTGTTGGTTCACTATGAACATTCAGTTAAACATAAGTGACAATTCAAAGTTCTTGCAAGAGTGAATAATAAACAGAAACTGCACATAAAAGGATGTGTATTGATCAGACTTCAACTCAAGTTAAATTAACACAACAATGTAGTCCATTTATTATTAACTTTGTAAGAAATTTTGCTTTTTAGTACATTAATCATTCAATTATCTCTGAAATCATGACAAAAAAAACAACAACCAAAGGTAACCCCTTGGAATGTGATATGCAACTTCAGATAAGAAGGTAGTTTAACATCTATACTCTTATCTAACAAGAACTGTCACAAAATCAGTAAAGTGGGGTAAAATAAAAATTGATAACTCTTGACATCAAATTCACAGTACCATATTAATTGCCACTTTGTAGAAGGTTGAGGCATATGCACTTTTACCCCCCCCTTGTGTTCTTAGGGTTAACTGCAGGATTGTCAATGCTGTAAAAAATCATACTGGTTATTTTAACTTGATAATTTTTTTACTACATTTTTCATAAAAGAAGCTGGTATTGAATTATGAAAGTTCTAATATAAACCTTGGAATTTTATTTATGAAGTATTTCACATTCTTATTATGAGTTTCAAGAAATAAAAGTTGATTATCTTGTTGATGTTCACCTGGGAATTTGATATCATGTTTATTGTTTATATTGTTAAAAGAAAATCATCCACATTCTCAGCATCTTTAGAAATAATTAAAATATCATCTACACTCTTTCTATAATTTATTTAAACAAAATAGGCCTTCATCAAACCAACACAAAAGGACAAGTTATTAAATGACAGGCTAAATTTTAATCCCTTGGCTTTACATTTGCTTTTTCATACAGCTTATTGTTGAATTGAAAGTGTGATTCCTTTATGGAAAATTAATGAATTTCCAAAACATGTACTTAGGTTAGGAAACATCGGTATTTGTATTTTTCTATAAAAGCTCTGCGTACAACTTTGTAGTTTCATTTTATGAATGTTAGTAAAGAAAGATTATATCAAAAGTAGCATAGTAAACGTTATCAAAATTCAGATCTTTCATTGCTTCAGGAAAATCAAAACTACCTTTGGCAGTATATTCATTACTAGTTAATGGTTCCACAAAGTTATCTAGAAAAACAGTCTCACGCTTCCATGTTAAACCTCCTGTGATTGTATTTTTATCTTCATGTATGTATTACTATGGTGCTCTAATAAATTTGATAAACACTCCTTTTCTTTCAGCTGTTGCTTTATCCCATTTATATTCTGTAAACTCTTAACTTGATACTCAACTAAATTGTTTGCATTGTTAATTTATTTTATCGAGCAATACCTCATGAAATGCAGCTAAATAGACATCCAGATAAATATATCCAAAAATAGGATTTTAGTAATGAAACTCGTAAATAGACTGTATTTGACAAATTATTGTTGTCTGCTTTTTAATTTTCCAGTAAATACTTTTGTGCTATGTTTATATTTATTTGGTACTTTTAGTTCATTCATATACAATCATGTAGTTTACATTGAATTCCAAAATTCCAAGCAAAATGGCAACAGGTAATAAATTATTAAGGTGTATCTTTTGAATCTAGGGGTATGTTTAAAAATGAGTTTTATAAGAATATCAGTAGACAAATACTATAAACAACAATTTACATTGATATTCAGGATATGTCTAGTATTAACCCTTTCAAGATGGGTTGCAGGTGAAAGGCCATGTCATCTTTTTTGTTCAAAATTTTATTGAACTACTATTTTGTGAATTTATGTCAATAAGTGTGGTCCCAAACTGTAGATTATAATTAAAATGTTAGTACTATATATTATTCAATTTCTTAATTTAAAAGCAAATATTAAAAAACATACAGATAAACATTTTTTGTGTGTCACGTGTTATGTTGAATGCAGCACTAGTTCAAATTAAATGTTTGTGAAGTCAAAATACAAAATCTACGGTTTTGTTCGAATTGGGAAACTCAAACTATCAATATTGACAAGCTAGAATATAAATTAAAAACGTCTTATCTTTTCTATTTGCTAAGATATCGCTCCTGTACTGAACCAAACACAGTGGGCCCCCCCAGCCCACCTCATTCCATTTTTGGAAACTCTCCCTTATATACACTTATTTCTATATATATGACATGAATAACTAATTGGAAGCTCAGAATGTCCCCTAGTGGCTTTCTTAGCCATTTTAATGGACATGGTGCCATTTCTTTCTTTTGAACCAATAATTCAACGAGGTAGGGTGTGTCTTTAGTCTGCTTGAAATTTCATATTTTTTTTTAGATTAAAATACATCTTACTTACTAAGCTTGATAAATTATAGTGGAATTCTATGGTATTAATGTAGTAATTTATGATTTTTTAGTTGTTCAAATATATATATTTGATACGGTAACGTGAGTGCACGTGAGCTGTGTCATCGTAACTTCTGTACAGAGATTAATTACTGAAATTAACAGATAAAATAGAAAGTTTTTCTTAAATGTTTGATAACTATCTCAACATTATAAAGATTTTGCATGTGAAATTTACAAATTTTCTGATGCATGATAGGTAGGCAACATGCAAAAAGAAAAAATTGACATGAGAAAAATATTGCTTTATATACCTTAAGACTTAATAAAAAATTTGATTTTTTGCATATGAGAGCATTGTAAA